ATAAAAAAAAAAAAAAAAAAAAACACACATACACATACACATACACATACACACATGTGTACCATATGAATATTGTGTGCAGTATAACCTAAAATTCTTTTTCATTCTCTTCCTTCACTTCCGATTACTCGTTCTTTAGACTACTCTCTTCATTTCCACAACAACCGGTTGAGGCATTAGACTTAACAATAGCCAAGCGAAGCGCTTTACTATGTGAAGTGAACGCATTTATCACACCAGTTAACAATGATGGGTTAACCGCATACATTCCATGGTGTACAAATGCCACAATTCCGTCAGACTCATCGAGTACAACAGTGAAAAGACCATCTACAACACCCTCCTCTGCTGCATTCGTATCCATTAAGAGTTGCAATTCACCATTAGCGAGAAACATACCAATCGTTGTAGCCACAGGAATACGATGAAACTGCAGGTGTTTGCTCTCCACCACATCACCATTAGGGAGACGTGCCTTGGGCAATGTGAGATTGTTTAGTGCGGCAACAGCGGCATGTAAAGTAGCGGCCCGCAGACCTCCATCAGCGTTAAGCAGAACTAAATCCACCTGCAGTACCCAACATGCTTCTCCACTGATCACAGAAAGTTCACTGAGATCCATGCAAGAGATAATAGTTGAGCGCACAAATCTGGCTAGTTCACGTAATGCTCCCTCAATCTTTATAGTGTTTTGGTTTGAGAAAAAAGGAGCCGTGACATCTACTGTAAGACGACCTTCGTCTGGATACTCCATTGGTGGAGGACCAAATACACCGCTAACTGTGCAATTCACACAAGTGCCTGTATTGTCTGTGTACAAAGTGGACGCCAGCACGCCATCCGTCCGCATCTCTCCCATAATATCCTGGAGAATTTGTGGCTTTCGAATACTGTTGAATGAACGTTCATCCAGTCGCTTCTTTTGCCTGAGGAGCTGCGCCACGTGTTGGTTAAAGGAGACAAGCTCCACAGCTCCCGTGGCGGGTGGAAGAGACATATATACCTCAACACAACCTTCTGGTCCTATTTGAATCCAAAAATGAAAAGAAAAGAAAAAAGAAAAGAATAAAAAAAAAGAAGAAAGAAAAAAAAAATACAATATATTATTCTCATCTGCTAAAAAAAAGGTGAAATGATACCTTTTTTTTTTTATTCTCACTTGTTGTCCCTGTTTTTCGTTAATCCATTCTTTTTTTCTTTTTTTTGCCATAATTGCTTGGTCATAATGTCGGTAGGAGTGGTCTCTTTCTCTTTTGGAGTTTTTTTCTTTTTTTCTTCTCTCTTTTCGTCTTTGCCTTTATATTTACGCAATCATTCTTCTTATCAACTATCGTCATGCCAAAGGCGTCATCAAGCCACATTTACGCAACCAAATATGATTAATACATATGCTAATTGTACTGCAATAACTTTGCCCCGCACTCTGCGCAGAAACGCTGGATCTCAGGCTGCAACAGCTTGGCCCCACATTCAATACAAAAACGTTGTTTTGGGATTCTATCAGTGGAACCTCCATTACTCTCGCCGCAGCTGCCTGCCCTTTTTAAAGAACTTCTGGTACTCTTATCAGGTGTGGCTTCCACAGCAACTAAATTAGATACTGTATCTGCCGTATTTGTACCATTTCCCGTACCTGTTGTCGTTGCTGTTACAGGTTGTTGTCTCTTGCTAATAGATTCTTTACGCGGCGCAGGAGGTATCAACTTACCACTTCCCCTCGTTGAACCTGAATCCAACGCTGAAGTGCCAGCAGCATTGGTATTAGTATTAGTAGCATTTGTATTAGTATTATTATTATTATTAGTAGTAGTAGTAGTAGTCGTAGTAGTGGTAGTGGTATTGGTAGTTCCAGTAGATGTAGAAGCTTTTCGTTGTGGTTTATTACGATCCAAACATACTTCCTCGTGTTTGCTGAGACGTTCAGCGTTAAATGTACGATTGCAATAACGACACCTTGGTAATTCTTCATGTTTTTGCCTATCTATTTTAATACGAGATGGCACATTTTTAAAGCGAGATACATTATTTAGTGGAATTTTTACAGAACGTCTAGGGGACACTCCTTCTCCATCGAATGTTTCTGAACCTTGCAAATGTATATCCACAATATCCAGAGAATTTGCTGATTCCTCAAGTCGCCGAAAACTTGCAAGACCTTTTCCCATCCCTTTATCTGCCGAGTCTCCGCTCAATCGAGAAGCTTGCAAAGAGTCGGTATGTGTAGAATTGACAGAGGCGCTTGCACATCGCTTCTCAGGATTTACTTCAACCCTTGTGCTACCCTCTCTACTACTCGCATTTACCTGAAAGTGAATACCAGAAGACTTCATTTCACCAGTAGAAGCAACACCATGGTCATTAGGATCAGCAATATTATTAGTAGTATTAACTTTGGTACCATTACCTTTTTCATTCTTATAAACAGGATTGGAAGTGATTGCAACTATAGCTTCAGAGAGCTCATCCTCTCCAGCAGGTTTCGTTGATGCCAAGGGATCCTTACACGATGGCATGCTCTCCGAACTATCATGCTTTGAACTTAATTTTTGTAAAGAAGATGAAGTACTGCGTTCCTTTGATACTGAACCAGTACTTATTCCAGTATTTCGTACAACTCTCTCCACGCGAACTGCCGGTTCTGGTTCTTTTTCCTTTGTATCTTTTGGTTCTGGATCTTTTTCTTTTGTACTCCTTTCACTGGATATAATCTTTCCCTTTTTCCCTACCTCCTCTGCAGATGCTGTTATTGTCGTTCCTGTTGTTGCTGCTGCTGCTGCTGTTGTTGCTGTTGAGACCTTCTTTTCCGCTTTACCCGCTGATCCACGCGGAACTGGTTTAGAAGCCCCTGCAGATCCCGGCTTACAACTGCGTTGGTGTACTTCCAAACGATCTGGAAGAAATGTGCGACCGCAGTTATCACACTTTAATAACATATTATTATTAAAGTGTTCAATTTGCATTTCATTAAAGCGATCGAGATCTTTTCCCTTCATTTTACCTTCTTTACTGATCTTTCCACTCCCAAGTGTGGCTAGTTTCTTCATTTGCTCCTCATGTTCACTGGGATCCAACGGCTTTGGTCCACGCTTTGCGGGATCCATGCGCTCCCACTCTATGAGCTTCTTCACATAACACTGCGGCTGGTGAATGGGCAGACTCGCCGAGCTGAACTGCTGTCCACACAAATAACAAAAGAGAAAGTTCGGCCTGGACGCCTGTCCAGCACTGCGTGAGGAGGAGCGTCTGCGCGGTGTGGTGCCTTCCCGCCGCTCCTGCTCGAGCACTTTGTAGAGTTCGCGTGCGACGATGAGACCCGGTTGAGATCCACTCGTGCGGCGTGGTGTGTTTGGATTTTCCTGCGATGAACTTTGAGCTTTCGTGCGGGTGTGTGAACGGGGAGTGGAGGAATGCAATGCGGATCCATTGCACGGATCACGATGTTTGGAACTCATATATGTCCCTCTAAATAGTCTTCACTATGCTTAGGGGTCTATTTGATTTCCCTTTGGAGTTTTTTTCTATATTTATTGTTTTTATACTTTTCTTTTATTATTTTTTCTCCTCCTGTTTTCGCTTTTTTCTTGTTTTTTTTTTTTTCTTTCTTATTTTGGTGTTGCTGGCTTGTTGATATTATTGTAGTTGACCCCCCTTTTTTTTTTTTTCTTTCTTTCTTTTTCTCACTTGTTACGGATGATAGTGCCACTTGTTTTTATGGATATTTTTCTCACCTTGTTTTCGTTATATTGATGTTGCTGCTGTTTTCCTTCAATCCTTGATATATATATGTAGGAAGAGACTACTCCCACAACCCAATTCAAAGAAACAAAAAACAGAAGAAAAAAAAAAAAGAATTACATGTATGTATACACTCAACACATTTGACGTATTCGTCAATAACAAATAAAGAGAGAAAAAAGAGAGAATAGTGAGAATAATGGATATGTACTCTTAAAGAGAAAGATCACCCCATAGTAGTGTTAAAAACAACACACTGATATCCATATGTACCACCCATGTATATATATATCATCTGCCCAACTATTGTGAGTAATATAGAAGTTTACTCCCCACCTCGCTAGAATAAACAAATATCCTTCTTCTTTTCTTTTTACTTTCACTGTAGAGGAATTTGTCCACATTTTTTCTTTCCCCCTCTTTTCCAATCTTCAAGTCTCCTCATAGAGGGATGGAAAGAGAGAAAAATAATCTTAAACACATATGTAGACTATTTCTTTATCTTTTTCTCTCTTAACGTACATATTTATATATTTTTTTCTCTTTCTTTTGTTTCTTTTTTTTTTTCTTCTTCAACATCTCACTTTTTATTCTGTCAGGAGAATATCAAGCATCAGAATAAACCGAGAACGAAGAGAAAAAACGAAACAAAAGAAAGAGACAACATCAACAACTAAGATAGATAAAAGAAGAAACAAACAAACATAGAGACAAAGAGAAAGAAAGAAAGAAATAGAGAAAAAAAAATGTGAGACTGTGTCTACTTTGCCTTCTTGCGCTGAAGAGACTTTGGCACATACGGTGTGGCTCCTCCAGTCATAATTAACTCCATCTCTTCTTCCGTAAAAACGTGAGGTCTGAACTTCTTTGGTAATTCATCAAATGTCTCCAGAATGCACTTTGCTGGAGAGCCAGCCGTACTACTTCCAACACTCACACCACTCTTCTTTAAGGCATATGTAAAGCGAATGAGAGGCTGATGGTAGCGCAGTAACGTTAACCTCAACATTTTTTTTTTTTTTTTTTACTATTTTCTTCTCTTTTTCTTTTTCCTAATTTAGATACTATACAAGAGTCCACTTCTTCTGCTCTTGTTATTTATTAACAAAGAAAAAAATAAAAAATAAAAGGCAATTTTATTGGTAAGGGAAATCTACTCGGTCTACTTGACCACCATCTACAGATATTCTCATTGGAAATGTTAAGAACAGAAAAATAAAATAATAAAAAAGAAAATTAATCGAATAATAAAGAAAGAGAAACAAATTCTCTATCAAGTACGGACATGCACTTATATAGTGAACTCCAATACAACGTAGCCAACAGCAGCAGCTGTCCAGGGATCAATATCAACAATCCCACTCTCCAAGTGGAGTTGGCCATGTCCTTCCAACACAGTTCGTACCCCGCAGAGAGCCTGTGAAAGCAAATCGAAATTTCCACTTCCAGTAAGCTGAATAAGGAGAAACTTCTTTGGTGTTAGAATAGACTTTTGTCGAATAAATTCTATTCCTTGTCGAAAAAAACTTGTCGCTGCCGCTACATCCGAGTTACTGTCAATAAGACAGACCCAAAGTGAAGGTTCAGCACGTAATGTGGACATTACAGCAGATAAATGGAGAAGATCTACTAAACCTTTCTTCTCTCCTTCTCGTTTCCTCTTCACAACATGAAGCACAGATTGTGAAAAGTGTTCTTCAAACAACTGTGTAAGTATTAAAGCAAGAAGTTGTGATCCACTCCTCTGCGCCACAGAAGCCCCTAAAGGATCCTCATAGTTATGATCAGCAAAAATAACTAGAGAACTATCACTCTGTTTATCCCCAAGAAGGGAAAGTAAGAGAGATCCAACTGCCTCAAGCGCCTGCCCTTGTCGCCAGAGAGAAGGTGATGAATGCTCCAACACAGAAATATCCTGAGAACTAAGAGCAAAGGCAACAGTACTATGCATGAAGGGTAACACCGCCTTTCGTACTTCTCCAGAAAAACCATGGACTGCAGTGCAAGGCACAACTTCTTTCTCTACAGTAGATCTTGCCAGGGATAAATCCACTCGCTGCGGTTGTGGATAGAGACAACTCAATGAACCATCCGTACACAATGTAGCGACTCCAATATTTTGTGTTAATGGTGCGGCAGAGAGTACGGCATCTACCAGTTTTTGTTCCTCTAAAGAGAGTGTATTTTCTGCTTGTGATGGTCCACACAATGGCGTGTATCCACCAAAGCGAGAGACATCTTGACGTAAGAGAAGAGTTACATGAAGATCCCGCTCCCATGTATGTGCTGAGGGATTTCGAGGGTGTTGTAATACAAAAACTGAACAAAGTGTTTGTTGTATAGGGAAAGCCAATTGCTCTGCCCATCGGTTTAAAGAGGCAAGAAGACGTTGTTGTTCAAGTGTACATAAAAAACAATCAGGTGCAGTTTTTGAATCCATAGAAAAACAGAACTTTCCTGCAGTCTCTATTTTATTTCCCTCTGTTTGATTGACACTACCAGTGGATTCCCGCTGGGATGCCTGTTCAAAGTGAAACTCCATCTCCCGCATAGTGTGTGCATCTACAGAGATATCAAATGGTTCTAGAAAACGTACTGAAGAAGGAGGCCAAGTACGTTTCCCTCTCTTCTTCTTCTCATCAGTTAAGAAAGTATTATCATCACCATTGGTATTAACAGTCTCACCACCACCACTAGTAGAAGCAATAGAATAAGACGTACTGTCTAAAGCAATAGAGGTCTCCACAGCCCGGCGGAGTCTTTCTGCCTTAATATCTCTGGATGCTGTTACCGCCAATCCCATCCACGGACAGCGTGTACACATCCGCACTTTATTGTGATGTGAACAAGGAACCACACGTGTTGGTCCCCACGTGGCCTCACCGGCAGGTCTACGCCGCCACATTCGACAATGTTGAGACTTCGGCAATCGTCGTTCCTCCACAATCGAATCAAAATAACGTGCGGGTGTGCGAATGACATCGCCTGGTCCAATGCCCTGAAGGACCGCATGGCGTTGATGCCGTTCCTCTGCTCTCTGGCCAGTCAAACAGACAATAGACGCGCAGCCGTTAACCGTCATTCGCTTTCCAACCACAACAGTTTGCGGAGTCCTGATATCAGGTCTCTGCCGCCGTGCGATTGGCCGTTCTAACATTTCCCGTAGTTTCTGCGTAATCATATCAAATACACGCTGCCACCACAGCTATTAAATGCATCTAATCAATACAAGGTAATAAAAACACCACCATCACCATTAAGAAACATAACAATAACAAGAAGAAACAATAATAGTAATAAAAAAAGCAATTGTTAGGAGACACAAGAACGCCAAAAAAGTTGGGGAACAGAAGTATAAAAAAACAAAACCGGGACATCATATGACGCCTCTCATACTTTTGGAAAACACATTGTCAGTACAAAACGACTCATTTGGCAAACAAGAAATTTTATGTTGAACTGCAACATTAGTGAAAAAATGCTCGTTCCTAGTTTCCGGCAAAATTAAAATTAAAAAAAAAAAATAAAAATAAAAAAATAAAAATAATAATAATAATAATAATAATAATAAAATATGAACACAAAAAAATACTAAAAAAAATTAAGTTTTACTCCGAGACATTGCATAACTAACTCTCATTCAACCTTTTTTTTTTTTTTTTTAGACATCCCACGACCGCCCTTTTAGTCCATAGGGTTCACAGATTCTGTTAATACGCTATCTTCAAATACGCTACGTCGTCTCCCTCCACGTAATCGGTCGTCTCGCAGTTCAAGCATTTCTCTACAGTACCTGCTGTAGTCCCAATGAATATAAACAGTGGAGGCAACAGCAGAGATATTCATACCAAGAGACACCAATAAGGGCATCAAGACGCACTGTTTGCCGTAACACAAACTACCACCCTGCTTGGCAGCCTGATGTGTATACCACTCACCATATACAAGACGATTCATTACTACTGATGCAACAATTCCAGCAACCATACAGAAATTGTAATGTTTAGCCACATCTTTTGCATATATAGTGCGTAAAACAATAACAACAGCTGCTGCCGTACATCCACTAGCTAATGCCATAATAAAGCAAGGAATAGGAAGTGCTTTAGGTGTAACCAACATAATTAAGACAAGAGTAAGCACGGTAAATCCAGTCGGGACAAATAATATAAACGTAATGGGCATTCGTCTTTCAGCAGGTTTACCTTGGGTAGCCATCTCAAAGATACTTAACAAAATACGACCAACTCCACTGCCGACACCAACAAGCACGACAAGAAGTGCCATAAAAGACTCGTCAAGAGGTTTCCCTGCAAGAGCACCAACCAGAAAACGCATATTCGTTAATATAATAAAATGAGCCCCAAAAAGGCAAAAAAGCGTCCACACCAGGAGCAAAAAACGAAACGTTCGGAAGTTTTCAACTGCTGTAGTCTGGTACTGAGGCGCAATAAAATCAATATCAGCTGCATCAGCAGCACTGTTCATACTATCCCGTGTAAAACGGCTTGCGCGACTTACACGGTTAGAGGTGCATGGAATACTTCCTGCGTCCAGTAAGTTAACCTTACGGTCAAATATCTTCAGTGGCAAAGCCATTATTGGGTATAGTGCAAGTAAACCAATAGCAATACATGCAAATGCAACGTGGTATTTGTGATCAAGATCAAAGTACGCAGATAAAGCCCCTTGTGTGGGGAGAAACACCACTAAAATCAACACAATAGTAACACCAACAGCAAAACGTGCAGCAGGAGCCTTCTGACGCAGATATTGTCTCTTCAAACGTCGTCGTAGTCTCCGTTCCTCATCTGTAAGGACATTCTGCTCACATCCTTTGATCATGTAGGGTGGGACCTCCACGAAAACCAGGCCAAGAAATGAAACTACAGATGCCACAGCAGCAACAAAGAAAAAAAAACGACTCGTATCACTGTCATTATTTTCTGAGAAAAAGGCCAAGTGAATGGCACCTAGAATAGCAGAACCCATTCCGGAAAACGTTTTCATTACTGCTACAACGGCTCCTCTGTTAACAGGAAATATGGACAATAGTGTCATAACACCACAAATGTCAAGTAATGAAGTCCCCAAAGCCAGTAAGGAAACATATACAGAGAAGGCTGGCACTGACCCTGTAATGGCATTTGCGTATGTTAAGCCAAACAATACCGCACCGAGCGAAAAAGTTATCATTGTGGTCAAGAAAAGAGGCCATGCGCCATAGCGATCATACAAGAAACCAAAAATAAGTATTACTGCACCGACCACATCAGCAACAGTAGTAATAGTGGTCATTTGACTTTGGGTAAAGTTGTACTTGGACTGCAGTTGTCCACTGTAGAGATTAAATGCATAACTGGATGAGACGGCAAAACAGCACAGAACACCTACAAACAACTGCCAGAATCGACGTGGTTCGCTCAGTGGAGGTAGATCTCGCCTTCGTCGATTGCCGCTCCGCCGCCAGTCATCACCAGAAGCAGCAGAGGAGCCACCAGCCCCAGCCCCAGCCCCATTCTGTTCGACTTTACTGTAGAGATCGTCTGGCTTAGGGTCATGCTGAGTAGGAAGCAACGAAGACGCAATGGACGGTGCGAGGAGCGGATCGGATAGTGACTCACCGTGAGCGGGATTCACTTCTCTCCGCCCTACTTCTTCTTCTTCTTCCAGATCGTCATGAAGAAGGGAAACCCCCTCATTGTCATCATCACTCAGGAGACCCTCGGGGCCAAGCAGGGTATGCACAAAGGGTGGCTGTTGAATCGTGGATGCCATTTCCCTCTCGTCTTTTTCTTTTTATTTCACACCTGCTCACCTCCTTTTCTTCGTTAATTTGCCTACCTATGCGTACGTTTGTTTCTGTTTATTTGTGTGTGAGAGAGATTGCTTTCCTTGATATCACTGGGAGATAAAAAGAGATATGATTAGGAGGTCATATAATAGTAAAACGATTAAAAAAACGGGTGGTACACATAGCACGGCAGAGGGTGAAAAAAATGAGGAGGAGAGGGAAACGCAACACTCAATAGTGAAAAAAAAAAATGTCTAGCATATCATTTATTCCAATATCTCTTTTCCGGGAAAATAAAAATACAAACGTTAAACGACAAAAGTATGTGCGGCAGCAGCAGCAGGTGCAGACACGGCACTAACTCTCTGCTGGATCGATCGAAACTCATCCATATCAATTTCATTCTGCTTGATATATATGGCCTGCAGATGGGGAAATCTCGGAATTTGTTCGTCATTTATTGAAGTAACGAGTTTGAGCAAAGACACCGACGAAGCAGTGGACATGTGAACATGATTCATGTGCAAACGGTGCAATACACGTCGACAAGCGAGTAGCAGTCGGCAAAGCAATGCGGTAGACTCATCCTTTACACAAATGGCGTTGTTTGAAAGACCAACCGCCTCCAGTCCATGCAGTTCACTCTTCTCAGCGGTAACACGAGGAACAGCATCAGACACGTGGTATTTCTCTACATACTGTACAATTGCCTCCAACCCAGTCAGTCCAAAGTCATTGCTGGCAAGAAATAAAGAGTGAAGAAACTTCAGTTGTGGTAAACACCATTGACATAGTTGCGTAACACCGTCATCTCCAAGATTGTTGCACTCCAAATCGAGGATACGCAAAGAAACGAAATTTCCTAGAGAAAAATAAGTGTACAGTGTGAGTGGACCCGAAGCCTTCTCGTTCAGCTCTCCTTCTGTCTCTTTCTCTTCCTTCTCACTACAGCCTATATGACTGGCAGTGATCCTTGCGTGACGGAGCTCCAGTCCTCGCAAGGGAGCGTCAGAGACTTTACCAATGGCCTTCAATACAGAGAGGGCAATATCATCTTGTGGGAGTTCTGTTGGCCCTTTCTTATCAGAACACTCTCGTGGCCTTTTAGTGGGAGGAGAAGTTGCTATAGTGCGACGCACGTATTTCCCGCGAAGTCTTAATACACCATTGAATCTACTTGACTGCAACTGTGTCAGAAAGTCCTGATGAATTCTAGACTCAATAGAGGCATCACAGTTTACCTCTCCAGCACCTGAAGGCATCTTTTAAAAGAATAAAAAAATACAAAAAAAAAAAGGGAAGAGGATAGTGAGAAATAAAATCAGAATAGTGAAAAATCATTAGTAGAGTTTAGTCATTCATCCATCAGTCAAGATAGGAATCATGCAACCTACACGCACACACAGAAGCTTTTCATCTTCTATATTTCGTTTCTTTTTTGTTGTTGTTTTCTTTCTTCTATTGGTGCTTCCTCTTTCTTTTTCTTACTTTTTTTGTTTTCTATGGCCAGAATAAGACACTCGAGTGTCTCATCATCAATTTGTCTATAAGGTTACTTATGAAGATGTAGAACTGCTTTCAAAATCATCATCATACTGACCCCCAGTTTTCTTCTTGCTACTGCGGCTGCTAACGCTACTACTTGTATCACTTTCACTGTCACTTTCACTGCTGCTATCAGTTTCACTTTCAGATGTTGAGGAGTCATCAGTGGACTTCTTCTCTACTTCCTTCTTGACACTTTCTTCAACCCCTTGCTGTAGCAAACTTTCTTCCTTCTTTGTCTCCACTGCAGCATTAACCACTTCTGCTGCTTCCACCTTATCAATTGTTTCTGGAATTACTGCATCATTATTACCAGTACCACTTCCCAATATTGCAGTAAGAGTCGTACCATCTAATCCACTGTCTTTTAGCATTTGCATAATTTCCTTCTCTGTTTCTGCACGTGCTTTCGCAATATCATGTAAATGTGTAGGCTCTACAAAAATGGGAGGTATTTGTGCTACACGTGTACGCATCTCTTCAAGACGTTCTGCAGCTTCACGTTCCATTTCACGAGTTCGTCGACGAAGTGCACGTACTTTTTCTTTTATAACAGCATCTGTATTACATCGACTGTTCTTCACATATTCTTTTAACCTTGCATTTACTATCTTTTGCCGCCGGTAGGCCTCCTTTAATGCTCTAACCTCCTCTCTTTCAGGCTCACCAGGAGCTTTTGCTTCTGATGAAGTAATATATTTGCTGAATACTGCCTGTGTGCGCATTGCGTGGGCACGGGTTCCTTTTGGAACAATTTTTTTATTTTTTTCCTCTTTTTCACTATGCTGTGAAACTGATCGTATGGGTTGTGTTTTATTTCCAGCAGATCTACATCGCTGATGTGTAGATGATGATGATATGAAACGATTCGACAGCACCGCTGAGCGACCCCGAACAACAGTATCCTTTACAGAGGTTGTTAAATTAAAAGGTTGTACACTAGTGGGCTGCTTTTTACGTTTACGTTCCGCTAAGGTTAAGCGCTCCTCTGCCCATAAAGCATTAAAATTGGGTACTCCATCTCGAATTTTTGGTTTAAAAGTCAAATTCTTGTTGTATTTTGCTGCAACAGTAGGACTTGGACTTTTTGAGTGAGGTTGTGTTGTACCTTCAACTTGCTTCTTCACAGTAACCGCAGAGGTCCCCTCTTTATCTTTATTTATCGCTACAGATGGTGTCGGGACATAGGGTTGAGAAGTAACAGCCCCTATTGCGGCTCCAGTTGTTACTGGTGTTGTCATAACAGGTACAGAAACAGGAATAGTCATAGTAGTAGTAACAGGAGTAGGAATAGGCATAGGCATAGACACAGTAGTAGTAGCAGTAGTAGGCATAGTAGTAGGCACAGTAAGAGGAGCAGTAGTAGTAACAGGAGTAGGCATAGGCATAGTAGTAGGTGCAGTAGTAGGAGCAGTGGTATTAACACCACCTACCACAGTTAATTGAGGTGCGCCACCTTGTTGGGTAGATGGTGCCACAATTGGTCCACCAACAGGCACAACAGGTGGTGGTAATGGTCCTAATTGCTGTTGTAGCGCAGCGAGGGTTATACCAAATTGGGGTTCCTGTTGTTGTGCACTTTGAAGAAGTGCCATACGATGGGACTCTTCTTCCTTCATCTCCCTTAGTCGTTCCACCGCCCGCTGTTTAATGCGTGCATTCCTTACTTGCTGATGTTCCTCAAGTGCTGGCCAAAGTTTCATCTTCACCTCTAATGGAATCTCCCGTAACTCCACAACTTTCCGTCGATTCTCTGCAGTTTCAGCACCACTAGCACTTTGTGCCCGTTTTGGTTTATCGCTGCGCCGCACGCCCATCACTTCGCGTGTTTGTCGAAGACTCTCTGCGGTCATTTGACGATACGCCGCGGCCTCCTGCATGCGTTCGGCTCTTGCGAGGGCGAGTTCCTCCACGGCGGCCCGCCGCTGCCGCCACTCCTCCACCATGAGAGCGTACTTGTTCATATATGTTGAGGGCGGCACTGGACTCGCACGGAATTGACGGGGTTCCTCCCCAGACAATCGTTGTTGTGGTCCCTGTTCCTCTTGTTCTCTCTGTTGTTGTTCCTCCAACATCCGGCGTGTGCGGATACGCTGGGATCTCTGCAGTTCTCGCGTTTCAAAGGAGAAACCACGCGCCTCCTGCAGCCGCCGTTCACGTGTGGCCTGATAACTCGGGTAGTCGCTCACAGCAGTGAAGTAATTCCGCAAGGCCCGATTGGCTGCCCGTCGCTGTCGGCGTCGCATCTCCTCCAACTGCTCAAGTCGTGTCTCTACCGAATGAAGTGTAAATGCCGCATCTACCGTCGCTGCTTCTCGCGTAGCGGCGATCGTGGGAGCTGTGGGCTGAAGTGTGTTCACATCAATGAGACCACCGCCACTGCAGGGGGCCCTCCGCGTCGCCACATCTAAAGCCATGAGTTCCTCTTCGAGTTGGGCCTGCTGCTCTCGGAGATCCCTGATCTCCCGCTCGAGCAGCTCCTCCATTATCTCTAGCTGAACAGCAAAAAGAGAGAAAATAAAAAGAAAAGTAATAAATTTAGAAATGTGATACTGGAAAGAAAAAAAAAAAAAGAACAAAACACAAACATACAAAATCATTCACACACACAAACACACACAAATGTATATAACAATAAAAAATCGACCGCAGATAGTTCACAGACATAATTTTTTTTTTTTTTCTTGCCCGTCAAGAAAGGAAGTGATAAAAACAGAAAAAAAAAAAAAAATGGAACACTTCTCAAAATGCACTGTGTTCTCCTTTTTAGGGTACCAAAGAAATACACATTGAGAGAAAATAATGAAAAAAAAAAAATAACAACAGTAATAATAATGATAATAGTGGTAATAATAAGTGTATTAGTATTCTTGTCGGGTATTTTTTTTTTTTTAACGAAATAAGTCACCCTTCACTTGGGAAAGAGTAAATGAAACAAAAAAAAAAAAAAAAAATCAAGTCAACATACAACATTCTTCTTATTATTCATTCTTTTTTCCCTCTTTTTGTTTGTTTCGCTTATTACTTATCTTCCACAAACAAACAAACAAAGAAAAGAAAAAGAAACGCACATCAACTAACTCCATTTATTCCTGTTCAAGTTCAATCCGCACTTCAACACTTTGCCGAAAGCGGTATCCTGAATACAGTACTAAAGCACAGCCAATTCCCATCGCTACACCACCAGCAATTTCATACGGAAGTGCCGCCGTTGGTAAAGAAAGTAGAAAGAAAACAAGCAAAGAGATTGGGCCGCCGAGTGAAAAGCTGCCGGAAAGAGTCATGCGATCAAAGAAGAGAGAACTCCAGTGATAGGCAAACCACGAGAGAAAGAGAAAAAGAGCACTTAGGATAATGTTAAGAAAATCGGAAGATGATATCTCCGTCAGAGGACGGTGGGATTCCCCAATGGGTATAGTAAAACCATTTGTAGCATACGAAATAAAAGCAAGCACTAACGTTGTAATTGTAATAGTGGACGACATCACAAAAAGATTACTTACATGTCTACTAACCGTGCGTAATTGAAAGAGAAAAAACGCCATAGCGATACCACCCACCATTCCAAACACTACCGTTAATACACGAGTGTAAGGGCCTCCTCCTCTAACTTCCGCACCAACGGTAAAAACAACGATGGAACTCACAACTAGTACACACCCAACGGCATCCAACACAGATACACTGTGTTTCTTGTATTCTTCATATAAGTAGGTCAAAATAAGTGGAAAACAGCAGAAACATACAAGACCCACTACATTCACACAAAACATAAATGCACATACAAGGCATAGTTGAGCTATAACTCCAGCTGTAATCACATAAATAACAGAACGATTTCGTGAAAAATCAAAGAGATACTCTCTCTCTTCTCTATCTGGTCGCCATGATAATGCTAAAAAACATAATAAATAAGCGGCAGCAAATCCAAACGCAACAAATGATATTACCGCGGATACTCCAATACGTTCTGTAAAAGTGGAATAATTTGTTACACGAGCAATAAATCCCCAATGAAGAACAAAAAAGGCACTAGCAATAACAAGAACTAAATGAGCATACCATGGTCGATTATACTGTACAAGTAAATGAAGCTGATCATCTGCTTGTACAAATGAAACAGATTTTATCACGTTTTCTGGAAATCGAACACTTTTCTTTTTCTTCTTTCTTGTTCCATTTGTCGTATTATCCGGCATTAGTGGCCGTTCTAACTCTCCATCATCCTCAGACCCCGCATCTACAGTAGGATCACTCTTTGATGGTTTCCGCACAAGAAAAGTAACACTACGCAATGATGGTGTACACGAGAACTCTGTTCCTTGTTGTGTTCGTGCTGTGGAGGATGGATTTACCGGCAGCGGTGCACTTCGCATAATAGGTGAGGAATCTGTACTGTTGATACTCTGCGCTGTTGTTGTTGGTATTGGTATTGATGCTGGTATTGATGTTGTTGTTTTTGGTATTGAAGTTAATCCCCGTCGCTGTTCACTGTTGGGATATCCACTTGTGTCCAGCAGACCACCACGGCGGCCAATGGAGCCAACGGAGCCAATCAACAGCGTCTCCTCCACATAATATGTACTGTCGGGAGATTGGAGAACAGCCGCCTTTAGTGTATTGTGATGTCGATGATAGCGCTGGGAACGACTCAGTGAACCAACATCCACAACACTGCCGTAACTACCAACATACACATCATCCACGTCTACGGCGTTATTGTTACTATTACTATTATTAGGCTTACTGCTGCTGCTGTTACTGTTACTATTATTATTATTGTTGTTGTTCTGTTGTACCTGCTGTTGTTGTTGTTTCTGCAGTTTTGCAGAGAGTGCGTCTGATGGCACCAGTAGTGCGTTTGTTATTTCTCGCATGTTAAGATGAAAAAAGACTGGTGGGGTCATTGCAGTGGCCTGAGCACTCTCCTCTTCCACACCGCTGTTCCTCACATCTCTCTCTGGATCCATCTACTCTTTCACACAAATATCAAAACGTCCCTCACAAGAGTAAGAAAATGAACAAGAAGAAGAAATAAATGTGCAAAGAGAAACAAGAATAAAAACAAAAAAAAAATGGTTTACTCCGCATAAAATAAATACGTGAGAGAACACAAGAGGAACTATAAAAAAAAAGAAAAAAGAAAAACAGTATTACAACGGCTAACTCATATATATAAAGTAAACCATGTATACTATTACGCAAGACTGACTAGACTAAAAGTAATAATCCTGTAAGGCAGGAGAAGCAATAACTGAAGAATAATAAACATTATTCACAAATAAAGAAAGGGGAAGTACCCCACTCTCACTCATCTCAGCATATCCACAGAGAGAAAAAAAAAAGCAGAGTAAACAATCTCCAATAGCATATTAAGGTACTAAGAAGATTCTTTTACATTTTCCTTCTCCTCCTCCACACACGAAAAGTCTTCCTCTAATAATGATTTAACGTATGTCTCATCCCAACCATCCAAAAGTCGTGTTTGTTCCACCAACTGCCGTCGTTTCTGATGGTGTTGCTGCGGTGTCTTGCACATTACTACAATACCAGAGAGTTGAGAGAATAAAGAAAGGGCAGCCGCACATCCGTGAATACTTTTAAGAGAAAGATAATACATTGGCGGATAACGCAATAATGGTCGTTGATATCCATTCCAATGAGTACGACCAACAGTACTACCATCGAGTGTAAATGGGTTAGTTGCCCATACATCACCAATCTGAACAACTTGTTGAAATGTAGTAGTAGTAGTAGTAGTAGTAGTAGTAATAATCAATCGAGGAACAATTGGTGTAAATATACCTGTTTCAACATTACAGATATACCCACTTACATTTACATCATCAAAGAATACCCAACGAAAGGGTGAAATAGCTTCTGGCATAATCACTACAGCAAAATCAAGGAGTTTAAGGCATTCCATTTGCAGTGCCAATAACTCTCCCTTTACATCTTTTACCTTTTGTTTTTCATTACTTGCTGTGGAATGATCGAAGGAAGATCGCAATAATAATGCCCGCAACACTTCAGGCAACACAAGTGGCCAAAAAGGACGTAACAAAACGGGATCTAATTTCGTCATGAGAACCCGAAAAAGAAAAAGTGTCTGTCGTATAGATTGATAATTCAATACACGACGAACAGCAGTAGTTGTATCCATATTTGTAGTAATAGTATTAGTATTAGTATTAGAAGTAGTATTACTGGATAAACAAGATGATGATAAGCGGAGGGTTTCCGTAATGCGTTCTCGCAGCAACAGGCAAAACTCCATATCAGAGGCCAGCAATCGCCGTGGTATAGACATTACATAAAAGATAAGTCGTTTCATTTGTTGAATACGTTGTCGTTCCTCCTCCTCTGAAGAATTCAATAATGAAAAAATACGATTAGATGTTGAAGAAGAAGATGGAGCGAACATCTGCACAACTTCTGCATGAAATACCCGATCTTGTGAGAGACGTTCAAAGACAAGTGTCCATGCATGAACGACTGTATGTGGATATTGAAATAACTCACATGTAAAGAGAATCTCCTTAAACTCCTGTCGAAGACGACGAGAGACCGTCTCTCCCAGTTGTATTAATACTAAAGTGGCGGAAAGTGCCGCCCGCACTAATGGTGTACGTCTGTGGATCTCCACAACAGACTTTGATTCAATGCCAAAGAGAAATATCGGTAAAAGACAACGTTTGTAAAGCCCTAATGCCGATATGGCCATACGATCCTGATCAGATGTAGACATAGATACACCTCCTCCACCTCCTCTTGTTATTGTTATTGCAGTATGTGTAAGAGAGGAAAGTGTAACAGCAATGATCTTAAATGAGAATTGTAGAGGATCTAACTCTGTGGTGGTAGTGTTGAGGGATACATTTTTAAAGGAATCCAGCACTTTGCAAATAACTGAGACCAGCCGTTTATCTCTCATCTTCTGCGAAGAGGAAGAAGAGGAAGAGGAAGAAGAAGAAGAATCGGTTTCTTCAGGTCTTTTTAACAAGACCACGGAGTTCATGGGTCCAAAATCCGAAAGCACAAGGAGAATAAACGGCAGTGATATGATGGACGAGGCATCATTAGATAAATGTATTGTGGTGAGATCAATGAATGCCGTTAATACGTCTTTGGCCTCATCGCTGGGCAATCGACAAACACGAAGAAATGTGTGAATGAAAAAAAACACCGCCGCATCAAATGGAAGATGTGATGTTATTTCAGATGAAGGATGGGAATTAGAGAGAGAAGGCCGTTGAACCAGTAATTCCTCAGCCATACGAATTAATGATAACGCCGTTGTCTCTACGCCTGTTTGAAGAAGTCTGAATAACAACAACTGTGATTCCCCATCACTGCAGGGATTTAACAGGAGTTCAGAGAAAATATCCATATTCGTAGTAGATTCCTTACGGATGGGTAATTCCACATTCTCTCTATTATCCGAAATGCTACTGGATGGATATATGAGTTTCGTAATCATAGACTCTGCAAAGGTATTTATCCAGATGTTGATATACGTTCTGAAAAACTCTGCGCCCACCTCTTGTCCACACAATCGCAGAACACGGTGCAAAGCGGTCTCAACTCGAAAGGCTGCAGAGATATCACAACAAACATTATTATTATTATTATTATTATTATTATTATTATTATTATTATTATTATTATTATTATTAAGATGATGAGATCCCACACTTTTTCCTCGTCTTTCCTCCTTATATCGTGATGGCTGTAGTTTCTGGGCTTCTTGGGTGTGAAGATATACCGTAAAGAGTGTTGAAACAATATGCTCCATCGTCATTTGTACCACTTCTGTACTGGAGATTATTGTTGAGATGGAATTTATTCCCTTTTCAGAAGATGAAGAGGAATTCCCACCGAAAATTGGAACACGTGCTGAGAACCAATTGGTATTAGTATTAGTATTATTATTACTGTTATTATTATTACTACTACTATTACCAGTACTACTATTGTTATTATTGTTATTATTGTTATTACTCTTTTTTGCACTTGTACTATCACTGTGAAGTTGTCTTACTGTGTTAAAATGATACTCAAGAATATTATAAATACTCTCAATACACTTTACCACAACTCGTGAAGTATTTACACCTGTTAAAGAAACTTTTTCTTGAAGTAAACTATCTATTACACGAATAAATATTTTCACCAGTCGTGTGGACATAATCTCTCTTTCATTGCCCAAGTATGGTAAGAATTGTAGAATAGTATCACACCAAACAGAAAGAAGATCATAATTCGCCCATTCTTGCATACGTGCGGTTGCGGCTGCTCGTTCAATACCCAAAGCCACAGTCTCGTGAAATTCACAAGATTTAATTAAATCAGTGCAATTGCGCAAAGATCCAATATTATCCCTATTCACTAATAATACGGTAGTAGTAGTTGATACGATGGCTGTCGTCTCACGATGTATGTCTCCCTTTTCCATATATAATGAGTGTGGGATATTTGAAAGAGAATTCATTCCTGATCCTTTATTCGCATTTAAGTACCGCATCGCATTTAAAAGATGATGTAACATGAGAATTTGTGCAGCGGGTAAAAACGGAATATCTACAGCCGTGCGGAGAAGTAACATTATATACACAGAAGTATATCGCCAGGTCTGTATAGTGGTTTGGGAAAGATGTAAATATCGTAAACTTCCCTCCAACAACAAATTTAACGTCCCACAGGCCTCTAAACAGAGTTCCCCATCATAACGATTATGATCATTTATTTCAATCTTCTCAGAAGATACCGGTAAAAGACTCTGCCGAGCAATAGCGACTAATACATAACTCAACATGGCCAAAGCAGAAGATGGTGTTTCCTCCATTTTCTCTTCTATTCCACAATGTACACTTGATGTGGGAAGACCCTTTAATAAATTAGATAATACTGTTTGACTATTCAATGGTGGTTCCATCTGCTGGAGTTGATTTAATATACCCTGAAAACAAGAAGGAATCATAAGGATATGTCGGATTATATAAACAAATTCTCTTGGTTCTATTGAAATAACTCCAGACCGTTTCCCATCAGGAGAATCACAACAAGGTGAAGAAGAAGTATTATTTCCACTACTTGCTGTTTGCATACATTCCTCAGAGAAAGCATTATGCCATTGATATTCTTTCCATTGAAGAAAGAGTGGATTTAATACACGAGAAAAATGAGAAAGAGATTGTCGTATCATAGATTGAGCTAACCAACGTAATGGGGCATTTGTATGCGTTAAAGCTCGAAGCATCATAAAGAGTCCTGGTAAGAATATCTCCTCTGAAGTCTCCTTCTCTGCAAGTAAGCGAAATAAGAGAATTAATCGTTCACCATTTTCAATAGTTTCTTCAGTAGTGAGAATATCAAGAATATCACGTCCAGAGGGAATACTGTACATATGTATAAGAAGATCCACCATCTGTGGTTGCATTTCTATTTCACATGTACCTAGTAAATGCCATAGTCGTTGTATGAAATTCTCCATGAAATATTTTTCCATTATCATATTATGTAAAACTGGTAAAATGGTATTAGATTTTATAAGCTCTACATACAATAATAATACATTCTCTTCTACTACAGGAGATCCGGAGTTTACCAGTGTCATTAGAGATTGCAGCCAGTCTTGTATAATCTTTATACTTACCATTTTTTTCTCATTACTCAAGAGAGACTCCGATTCACACAGTGGTGTTGTATGTGAGAGAAGTGAAAAGATGGTATTGTTAAGATACGTCAATGTATTTATCCACATATTATTATTATTATTATTATTATTATTATTCAGTACTAATGATGCGATAGATATGGAACTGTACATAATGTTTGTGAGAAGTATCACTTCATCATCCTTCTGTACTATCACATCCGTTTTCGTTTGTTTATATTGGCTCTGCAGCGTTGAGAAGATCCTGAAGAAAATAAAATGAAAGAGATTAAGTGATCCTTCAATCAAATAATGAGCATTTCTCAAAAGTTCTTCCTTCCAAGTTGGCTCTGATGTGTTTTCTATTGTATTCAACACACAGGATACTTTAGACACTCTTAACACTATTCTACAAAGTGTATCACATGTGTTTAATATATCTTTATGAAAAGCCGTCATTTCTTCTGAACTGCGATTCATAAATTCCATTAAATGCGTCTCTACAACCGTCATGATGGAATGGAGTTGCTGGAACCAAACGTGCAGGTCTAAGAGGAGTTTTTCACAATCTTCCTTTGATGTTAAGGGATTTAAAGTGTCCTCTACATTATTACGTAAACCCTGCGGGGGTGTTGGTGCCGTTAAAACATTTCTCACACTATTATTATTATTATTATTATTATTATTATTATTATTTTCTTCTTCAATTTCATGAATATCAGCACTAGTAGTAGCAGTAGTAGTAGTACAATTATTATTATTATTACTACTACCACAAACATCCGCATGAGCATTGTTAGGATCACTAGATAAAGTGGATTTCTCTAACTGCTCCACAGAGTTACTCAGCATTAAGAGAATCCCACGCACATATCGTGTGAAATACTGTAAAGGAACAACTTTCAAAAACGCAGAAAGTGTTAACTTCATACTACTCTTCTCTCGTGAATCCTCTCGTTTTCTAAACTCCATAGAGACAAGAATATCACAGACGTACGGCATCACTAAAGGGGCTACATAATCCATAAAAGGATTACCAGCAGACTTTGAATTGTTAGGATCCCCATCTGTATGGGAATCCACGGAAAAAAAAATATCTTCATCCACTACATCTGATTCAATTACAATCTCAAAAAGATTTAAAAGGGCTCGCAACCACACAATGGGGAGTAAATCCATTCCCACAGCATCTATATTCATCATTGTGGAGTGAGAGGAAGATGAGGTAGAAGAGAAAAATTCACGTGCACTAGTGTATAAAATTTGATAATAAGATTCTTCTAATGGACTCAATTCCTTCGTAGTACTTCTCCGTGTATTTTGGGCAATTGGAATATTTAAATGTAATTCCCACCATTGAACAATTCCATGAAAAGCCTGAGCCACACGAAAGGATGAAACCTCATGCACATATTGAAATGCCTCATCACTACTATTAGGCCCCATTAACCAATCAGCGACCCGTCGTCGAATACTACTCGTCACATCTGGAAGACCTAACAACTGCACAACGGCTGCCACTAAGAGAGACTCTTCAGAAAAGGTGAAGATGGATTGAACACCCAGTGGAAAGGCAGTAATGAGTACATCGAGCATAAGTCGTTGCTTTCGCTCATTCTTTTCCTGGAGAGTAGCAAAGATGGCACTGTGAGCAATTCGTGCATCTCCTCCTACAATGATAGAGAGCGGTATACTGGATATTAACATAGAGCATCCTTTTTGCTCATCCGTAGAAAACTGTGGATCCATAGTAGTATTACTATCATCATTATTCGCATTATCATTCTTACTATCCGTATGCGTAGTGGTTTGAGATAAACGCAATTTAAAGTAATGCAAAACAGCCCCACGTAATGAAGGAGAATTTTTTAACGTAAACCACAATGCTCGATAAATTATTGCATCGCCAAAACATGATTGACTATTGTTTCCATTACTATTATTATTATTATTATTATTATTATTATTATTATTATTATTATTATTATTATTATTATTATTCTCTTTACCATAATAATAACAATAATAATTATTATTATTAGTGTTATCATTATTATCATAATGATAACTCTCTTTTACTCCTTGAGTACCTTTTGGGGTAACAGTAAATGCCGCACTATTAACTATTCGGTGAAGGTTTTCCATTATCTGCAATGAGAGACGATACACCTCACTCGTCTCACTCTCTTCAAATCCACTTAGAACCGCCGCAATAAGACCAGGAAGTTCCACCGCCACCACTTCAGGAGGTAATCCAACTAACATATACACCTTTACAAATTGAAGCAACTCACATTTAAGTTGCATACAACAGTGCGGTAAGAGTTCAAGCACACCAACGAGTAGTAATGGCATCTGCTGCAAAACAGAAAAAGGCCCCATACACTGACACAGACGCTGCAGTACATCCAAGGCCTTACGGTGTACACCCATCACGCCTTTCGGGTCTAAACATTTCCAAAGAACGCGGCATAAAAGTGTGGGATCCGGCAAAACCTCCGATGCCACTGCAACGTTGCTATCGAGACACTTGAGAATTTGTGTGAGTAGTGGTGAGAGGGATGCCCAGTTGGAAGAGGTGGTTCTATCCATCACCTGCAGTAACTTCACCATCTCCCCAGTGTACTTAAGGACCCGCTTCGAATTTTGCTGAACACCATCTACTCCATCTGTTGATGAAAACATATCACAACTTTTAAAAAAAAAAAAACATGAAAATAATGGCAGAGAAAAGAAGAAACAAAAAAAAAAAATGAGGGAAACAGATATAGAAGAAAAGACATCAAAGAATATTATATATATATATATATATAAAAGAAAACGCACAGAGAGACACACATTCACTCCATATGCACTTAAGGTTAGCTGTAGGTAAGAAAGTTACGCACCACCCTTTCCTACTTGTAAAAAAAAAAAAAAAGATTATTACCCATTAGGTAGAAGAAGAAAAAAAACCCACATCACCCATACAACTCACGTTCACAGAAACAAAAAAAAAGAAATATTAATGTATTTTTCTTTTCCAATTGTTGTTATAGGGAAAATAACGACAATAAACTGCCATTATTCTTACACGCACCCTATTCCTCTAAAAATCCATTTTTATTTCGGATAAGGTGTTAAAAGCGCATTTACAAGGCTCCCGTAAAAATCAAAGGGAACTCTCTTGGGTGGACTTAAAAAAAAAAACACTTAAACAATAAAAAAACTCTTCAGACTTTAAAACTGAGAGAAATAAATTCCAAGAATAAAAAAAATTTGTTTTAAAAGCAGCATTAACAGAAGCACATCCTCTACACTCTTTCCCACACACACACACACCCAAAAAAAAAAAAAAAAAAAAAAACTATGCCTCGAAACATCTGGCAATATAGCAGGTAAATAAAAGACTTCTTTCTTGTTACAGATTCCTTACCCATCCACCAAANCATCAAAGAATATTATATATATATATATATATATATATAAAAGAAAACGCACAGAGAGACACACATTCACTCCATATGCACTTAAGGTTAGCTGTAGGTAAGAAAGTTACGCACCACCCTTTCCTACTTGTAAAAAAAAAAAAAAAAGATTATTAGCCATTAGGTAGAAGAAGAAAAAAAACCCACATCACCCATACAACTCACGTTCACAGAAACAAAAAAAAAGAAATATTAATGTATTTTTCTTTTCCAATTGTTGTTATAGGGAAAATAACGACAATAAACTGCCATTATTCTTACACGCACCCTATTCCTCTAAAAATCCATTTTTATTTCGGATAAGGTGTTAAAAGCGCATTTACAAGGCTCCCGTAAAAATCAAAGGGAACTCTCTTGGGTGGACTTAAAAAAAAAAACACTTAAACAATAAAAAAACTCTTCAGACTTTAAAACTGAGAGAAATAAATTCCAAGAATAAAAAAAATTTGTTTTAAAAGCAGCATTAACAGAAGCACATCCTCTACACTCTTTCCCACACACACACACACCCAAAAAAAAAAAATTAAAAAAAAAAACTATGCCTCGAAACATCTGGCAATATAGCAGGTAAATAAAAGACTTCTTTCTTGTTACAGATTCCTTACCCATCCACCAAACCTCCACTCCTTGATCTTGCTTTTATGCCTTTTCAGTGACTGAGGTTAGTGTAGAAATCATCAGAAAACCTCACTCTTGTACTCTTCCAGTAGAGATACCCCACACCCAAGAGGGCTATTAACGACATTGTAAGAAATACAGCAAGAACAGTCGTCGCCCCACTCGAGGTGCTTTTTTCATTGCAGGGTCCACTTGGTGCCACCGTAGTTGTGGTTGGTGTATTGTCTGTCACATTCTCTGGTGGGTTTGGTATAGTAAATTCCCATGCGTCAACAGTTCCATAAAACTCCCGCGCGTCCATTCCGATAAAATCAATCTTGTACGAAGAAGTGAGTGTACAAGCAGTTGCATCCGACCAATTAAGATGTTGGCGGAAGTAGTCCAAATTGACTTCGATACAGTGTGCAGCTGAGGTGCCAACGGGAAGGCCAGACTGATGCGGCAAAGAACGGTAAATACCTTGGTACGCTGTGGCAGCCAGTGCAGAGGCACCATATGGAAAAACAGGATCAGTATCGGAGAGAATAAACAACATCTTCGTCACTGGTCTCGCAATTTTCCTGTCAGTGACATTATACTTTGGGAATGCATTGTAAAGGTCGTAGAGCGGCTGCAGCACTGTTATGTTTGGCAGCAACTGCCGCACCTTCCTTGCCTCCTGGAGGAGTTCCTGCGGTGGGACTGCGGGCGGTGTTAACGTGAGTTCATTCACAAGCCAGTTGTACCGCTGCGGCACAAACACTGGGCACTGCGAGGCCGGGCCCGACTTCACAAACGTGTACAACTGCTGAAGTGCCACCAAATCCTGCGCATTGCAACGCTGCAGACGATAAATAAAAGATGGTATCAACTGCGCCACCACCCGTCGATTATCCATCAAAAAGTGTTGCGGGTTTTTGAGAAGGGCAGCTGTGATCGCACGGTACTCGCGATGCATCTCCGCCGGTGGCACGCCCCATTGCAGAAGAGAGTTGCATTTCAACGTGTTCATCTCCGCAGCCGTCATGACATTCACAAAGCGATTCCACATGCCCTCAGCAGCACCCACGCGAGCAACACACCGCAGCCCCTCATCCTCCTCGCAGTACTGCAGCAGTCTTTGAAGGGTCTCATCATACCCCATGATGCTTTCAAATATATCAAAATACTCCGGATGACCAAACCCTGCCATGATCACAGACACATTATCAAGATTATTATACAGCTTCAACATTCGATGCACAACAAATGAGCCAATACCCTCCGTCACCACCACATTCTGGTTCCCCTTTCCCAACGTCTTCAGCACCCACGCAAGGTCGTTTGCAGTTTCAGTGATGGAATAATGCTCCATGCGCAGCCCAGAGCGTGCAATCTCCTCCGCACAGGATGCGTTCGGCCAGCAATAATGTGCCTTGTCATAGTAGTTTGCATTGCATGTAATTTGGGGGTATGCAAATTCAGATCCACGGGGCGAGAAACGCACAACATTGAATTTCTTTTGGAATAGACTATTAGCCCAATTAATTTGAAAATTCTCCCCAACATACCACATTGTCACGTTATTGGCATAAAAATCACTGGAATCCGCAACAGCATCAACAGAGAAGTAGATCAACTTATCCCCACTGGACCATGACTCTTTGGTCGTAACATTGGAGCAGTAAGAAAATCCAGCACTGCACCCATCCGCCTTCCACGCAGGCGCTGGCGGGTCCGCTGCAAGAACAATCGGGCAGAACAACGTGGCAAGGGCAATGCTCCACAAAAGTGCCACAACGTGTAACCACAGATAACCTTCTTTCATTTCTTTTAGTTTACAGTTATATTTCGTACTTTCTCTTGTAATGTGCAAATGAAAATGTGTTGTTAAAGTGTCAATTTTCTGTTTTCAAAGCAGTGTATACTGGTACTCCGAGATCAGTACCTTTCTTGGTGGTCGTTTGTTGTCGCCGGTACCTTGATTTTACTCACCAGTACCACGAAAGCACACGAGTCACTGAATTTTCGCGCCTATTTGAGGTCTAAACTATTTACTCGTTAATGAGAAAATGTTCTTTTCGCAGCCAGCTGGGCTGAAGAAAAACAAAGCCACAAAAAAATTAAATTAATTACACATATAGCCACGGCAAAGGAGAGAAAGAAATAGAGAGATAAAAGGATTCAGAGAACAAAAAAAAGTGATCTAGCATGAGAATAGCAGCGGTAGCAGTAATGGTGACAACAGAAACAAGTAATAATATTTGTTCTCATAGTAGCAGTAGTAGAGGCAGCAGAAAGCAGCAGCAGCAGAAGCAGTGAGAATCCAAAGTAAAAGTAAAAAAAAAAACGAAGAAATGTGACGAGGTCAATTTCTCTAAAGGAGATTCTCTTCATCCACTTCTAATTCTTACTTCTTCTCTCATATAGATACACCCTCACCTTCCACCCTCCACTTTCTCACCCCCACTACCTGTGTTGATCAAATTACTTATAAACAGGAGGAGGATACTCACATTTTCCCTCTTCCATTCTTTTTTTTTCTTCTCCTTTCTTTTTTTGTTTCTCTCTTTTTTGTTTGTTTGTTTGTTTGTTTGTTTGTTTCAAAAATCTTTCTTTTTCTCTTTCATTTTTTCGTTTTCATCCTCTGCTTTCTTCTTGGATGCCTCTTCCTCTGCCTGCATGGCCTTTGCCTTTGCGAGCAGCTCATCGCCGTGTGCCTTGAGGGCATCCGCCTCGCGCGTCTTGTTGGCGTCGCCGTAGAGCCGCAGGAGGACGGCGAGGCGGAAGTAGAGGGTGGCGAGGCACGAGAGCTCCATCTCCTCGAGGTGGTCCTCGTCGCCGTCGCCCTCCCCGTCCCCCTCGCGGCCCTCCGGCTCGGTGGGGAGGCAATCCCGCAGGCACTTCTCCGCCTGCTCGAGCAGCCGCAGCCCCTCCCGCTTGGGGGCCCGCGAGGCCATAATGAGAAAGAGCTTCGACAACAAATGGAGGGTCTCCCGCTGCTGCCGGGGGATCGCATTTACGAGTTCCTTTATCTCCGAGCACTGGCAGCGGGTGTCCACGTTGTAGAGGCTAATGCAAACATTCTTGGCCATCTTGATGCGGTGCCAGAAGAGAAGGGCAGTGGGACTCTTCAGGGCAAACTCAATAAGTGCTACTCCAAGTTCATGCAATGGGCGAGCGTACGTTACGTACTCCTCTACAGAGCACATAGTCCCCTCAAAATCCTCAGAGAGATAACTGGAATAATAAATAAAATGAGAATCCACAATAGCATCAATGTGACGACTGAAAACAAAAATATAATTCAGACACGCAGCAGCAAGTGAAGCACAACCTTTGCTAATAGCATTTTTGCTTACAGCACTAAAGACTGCACATGCAAACTCGGCAAGTTTCTCTTGATTAACCTCTTTAGGAGTAGTCCCTTTCTCTACAATGTAGCGATAACGAAGTCCCTCATCTTGTGCCGGTTTTAAAGTACAGATAAAAAACTCAATTGCCTGTCCGAGGTCATTACGGTAATCAACAAGAATAGAATAAGATGCATCCCCCAAACAGCGCCACCAAGCCACAATTTCTGTTCCTTTTTCTGTCTCTGCTACTACTTTCTCAGAGGATTGTGTATAGGTTTGTTTGAGTTTTTGACAAAGTAAACCATGTCCACCACTCATATGAGCTGCTTGACATTCTGTTGAGCAGTATTCCACCATACCACATCCACTGCAACCATATCCTTGAGCATAAATAGGATCTAAGCACATGGTACAAAGTGGACCTGCATATGGCTCTAATACGAGGCGTAGTCGATGTGGTAAAGGAAAAGGTTTACCTTCAACTTCTACTGTCGCTTCACCAATGTAACCTCCATACGCTTGACTTCCCTCATAGCTAACCGTTACATCGTACAACATTTCCTCCTTTGAACCCAGTACATATCCTTCCAGTTTATCAAAATGAACATCAAATCGTAAGATCTCTGCATACTGCCAACGACAAGGGTATCGCATTACTACTGTGACATTACGATCTTTAATCGGCCGTGGAACACGTCCCAAAGCAGATATAACTATTGGTTCACCGCTACTGCCACTGTTTGCACAACACTCATCTTCCATGACAAATATTTTTCCTTGAGGTCCTACTGATAGACCCTCACTTTCAACTGTAATTTTCAAGAGAACATGCCAATCATTTAATTCCTCTGATGACTGCGGTACATGACATTCCTCTTTCGAATCCGTCGATTTTTCCACTTCCGGTGGACAATGAGGGGGAATAAAGCGAAATATGTACAATCCTGACTGCATTTCAGATAAGTACTTATTATTTCCAAATAACAGTACTAGTACAAATTATTCACTCTTGTGAAGAACTCCTTTTTCAGAGTAAAAAAGGGCAAGAAAAATTTTAACAAGATAAAGTCGTCCTCAGAAAAGAAAAGAAAAAAAAAAAAAAGAAAGAAAAGAAGGCTCACTTTATCTGTTACTCGTATCTTTTTTCTTACTCTTCCTATATATATATATTTTATATATATATAGTTTGTTCTCTCCCTCTGACTTCCTCTGACTTTCGTGTTTCACCAAAAATCAGCTATCCTAACTAGTCTTCTCAAAAGATGTGGGGAAAAAAAAATAAGAATAAAAGAAAATGTTTGTCAAGTAAAGTGAAAGAAAAAAAATAATAAAAATAAATAAAAATAAAAATAAAAATAAAAACCTTCTTTGGTATCAACATTCTTATTATATGTTACATATATATTATACAAACAAAAAAGAAGGCAAAAGATAGATAATATGTAATTAATTTAACTTGTATTATTTATTATTATTATTATTATTATTATTATTATTATTATTATTATCACGACCACCACTTATCACAGCCTAAAACCTCTCGTAGAAAAATAGTCGCATAGCTGGAAGATGGTAGAGAAAAAGAAAGAGTTGCATTAAAACTATCTTTTTCCTCTCCTTCTCTTTCTTTCTCTACTTCTCCATTTTCACCTCTCTTATCACTATCAAAGACCAGAAGCGTCTCCTTAGGATGTACTATTGTCTCTCGCATAGCACCTGGTAATGACACACCAAGAACTTTCTTTTGTTGAAATACATCATCCACAGTAAGGTGAAGTTCTGAGAGTGTTGGCTCTAGAAAAGGTTTCACCGCATCCTCTACTGTTATTTGATATCCCAAGAGAGGTAAAGACTTTACACATTTCAATGATGTCTCTACATTACTCAATTTGGAAAGCATCATATTAAAAATAAGACTCTGTGCTCCGTGTATCCACAAAACACGAAAAGCATATGGAACTGTTAAGAGTGCATCATGACATAACTGTTTCCAACGTGAAGAATAACTCTTCACATCCTCTGAAGATAAAGGATTCGACAGGGATGCGTATTGTGTTTGATAGACTCGCCGAAGTGCATGAACAATACAATGAGCATCTCGTGCATTCATTGGTACATATCGCACTTCCATTTTTTCTGGAAAGGATTCATACAGACCAGGGGCACCAGACATGAGACTTCGCACAGCATCTATCCAACGCCCCGCTAACACATGTATACCAACATGATCTCTCACACTTTTTACATTTTCACTAAATCGTTGTTGTCCAAAATAATTTAGAAATCCATCAGATTCAATGCGTCGGAGGCGTTCTGTGAGTTCATCCTGTGAAATTCCATTTATATCAAGTAGGCGAATACGAAACCAATTTCCATTAAGTTCTCCAGTTTGAATAGGTACCTTACAAGGATCAGAAATCTGCAGTATTTCAAGATAGCTTGAAGGATCACTAGGCCATGTTAAACGAATTAATTCCTTCTTATTATTATTTTCTTGTTGATTCGCTTTTAATGATATAGGAACAGAACAGCGCTGGTACGTCACCGCACATTTATCTTTCATTCCCGCTGAACACACAGCAGTATCAGGTACGTTAAAATATTCCGCAAGAAGTATACGAAGTTCCATCATATCAAGATTTCGTTTTCGAACCAGAAGATGTCTAAATAATAATATTGTTGTTGTAGTAGTAGTAGTACTATCCATACCATTACCATTATCACTATTTCGTAAACGCTTTCCCCGTTGCTTTGGTGAAGGCATAAGAGTTACCTGACCATTTGTAACCCGTGAAATAATATCTGGATAGCGTCGTGAGAGCATCTTGTGAAAACAACGTCGTGTCTCTTTCGTTGCCTCTTGTGAGAAATTTGCTGTTAATTTAAAAGAACTTCTGCAGGAAGGTTCGGTGGTATTCCACCGTTCCATCGCATCTGCCGTTCGTTCATCTAAACAATAGGCAAGAAGAAGATAATCCAAATCATATAAGGCAAACACCTGATAATCCGACATTTCTCCATTCCCTTGTAAAGAAGAAGAAGAAAGAGAAGGAATACGACGTGTCTCAGTTCGAAGGTGTGGAAATTGAGTCTTTAATGTGTAATGTAAACGTTTCCGATCTTCTCTTGAATTAAATACACCAATAAGGAATTCCTTCGTAGTATTGGAAGAAAAAGCGTTTTCTCCATCCGTACAGATGGACAACCGATACTGTGCAATAGCATCTTGTTTACTTCCAAATGTTGTTGAAAGAGCATCTCGAATAACATCATTCAATAGAACCACCTCACATTCGGCTGGAAAAGAAGAAGAAGAAATATCATTCCCTGCAGAGACAAGAGAATAATCTTTTCTATCTATTCCACTTGTGTTAACAGCAGTGTTGCTTTTCTCTTGTAATGAAGAGAAAGAGTTGTCTATATTATTACCGTTCTTCTGTGGGGTGGGGATTGGCAATTGATATCCCACCGCATCTGTGCGGACGCCTGCGGGGTCGATCTCCACAACTGTGAAATCTTCCGGATTTCTTTTAAGAGACGCCGTCGCCGCCCGCCCCACCGGCAGAAGAAATCCACTGATACCGCATGCCTCTAACATGGAGTCTATACACATATAAATAAATAAATATATATATGTATAAAGAAGAAAAGAGAAATTAAACGAAAAACAAAGAAGGAAAAAAGAAGGAGGAATGTGGCTCAAGAAAACAAAAAAAAATTCAATTAAAAGTCTCGTACCGTTTTTTTTTTTCTTTTTTTTTCTCTTTGTCTTTGCATCTCTTCATATATTCACTCTTCAATGCGAACAATAGAAAGAAAAAAAAAAATCCATATTTGTGGCAAATAAAACGAAAGCAAAATAAGACATGCAGTGCTGATGTGTTTTGGTAGAGGCGGATGATGGGAGTAAGAAGAGAAAAAACAATGTGGCTTCAATTCACCTAATATAGAGAAAATCAGAAAAATAATACAAATAAAAAGTTTGAGGAGTTCACCATCGTTTTTTTTTTTTTTTTTTTTTTTTTTTACTTTTCGCCCCTTTTCCTCACCCTTATAGATAGATA